CTGCCACCAAATACGAGAGTTGTGGATGGATGTCCAGGCAGAGGATCCCAGAGGCCGTGGGGTAGATGTGCTCCGGAAAAGCCGAGTTCTTCAATGAGAAGAAGAGCAGCATGCCACCCGCCTGTTTACCAAAGTCATCTGGCCACAACAGAGACAAAACCAAGACGATTTGGAAAGGATCAGTTTTTAAAAATGATTCAATAAAAGATGTTATAACAACTTCAGTTAGTACTCACATGATCCCAATCCCACAGCAAACAGGTCCTGGTATTTGTTATTCCTATCGAATAATAATCAGTTATCAGTCATCCTTCTCTTTTGTGACAGTAGTGACATACAAAACTGAAAATGTATTAATAGTCCTCTTTACTAAGCCCCCCTGGTATCCATGAATAAAATCCAGACTTCAACATTTTGAAATGAAAATGCACGACTGCACCATATCAGAGGTGGGCACCACTAAATTAACAAAACATTAATCAGAAAAGCAGCCCAAAGACTCAAGGTGGCTCAGGAGAAGTTGCATACTGACAAAATGTGATAGAGTTCACAGGGAATCGAAACTTTACAAGTCCCCCCATTATTCAGATTTTATGTTTCACAGATTTAATAAATCAACACACCAGCAGAGGGCAGTGACAGACAAATGCCTGGCTTTTTCATACTGAAACGTCCACAAAGGCAGAAGAGTTCCCTCCTGGTCTCTGAACTCATCTGAGGCATCCTCAAAGTACTTAAAATCTGAAGGTTACAAAAGGAATGCAGTTAGAGAACAACACAGAGCAACATGTGTTGCAAAAAATGTGTTTTACATATAAACGATCATGCCTTGTGCTATGTCATCCATTGTATTTTGGATGACTATTCGTTCAATGATCTTGGCTACCTCTGCCACTTGAGTGACATCCTCACTCTGTAATAGAAACACAGCAAAGTTTTGGGGTCTCCGGAAATACTATGTCAACCAATTAGCATATATCAGTTTTGGTTTGGTAATGTGTAGGCTGCACAATTTAATTGTATATATTGAATGTACACAATGATACATTTAAGGAAGGAAAGCTTAAAAAAACTTTACCCCACTGTCCAGCAACGACTTTTTCTTGACGTCAAAATCCTCTTTTTTCTCTACTGTGCTTTTCTTTTTCTTTTCAATTGAGTCTTGCGTCTGCAGTTTCTCCAAGTATGCGTCGTAGATCTCCCACTGCAAGCAGTCAGTTATTAAAGTCAACCAATAATTTTTTCCCCACAAAGAGAAAATAAGTCCACTCACAACACACCAGAGCACAAGTGTGCAACGTACCTGATTAGCAGAGTCAGAAAAGGTGATGCGGGGAGGAGGTTCAGTCTGGCAGCTTCTTTCCTGAGGAAAAAGGAAAACCTCTTTATCTTAATACATAGTACATCAATACATAAGCAACGACAAAGTGTGTTAATACCAATATCGTAGTGCCTACTTTGTAAACATTGCATATGTTAACTACACACAGTAGTTACTGCTTTTTCATACCCTTGAAGGATTATTGCGAGTCTGTCCTGCCCTTTCACTGAAGTTGAATTGATTTGTAATTTTTGCCTCCCTCTTGCGACGTTTTGAGGAAGCACTACGTGGTTTGTCCTCATCTCCAGTTTCTTCACTTTCACCTCCATCCTCCACAGGTGTAGTCTATTGTGGACAATCAGCAGACGGAGGTTCAAGTTCTATCTACACAATTCAAGCTTGAGTATTTACTCAAGTATTTACAGTATTTTAAATTTTTTTTTTCAACAATGTCTTAAATCACTTTTAAGCGCCTACATACAGATTTTTTTCTTATTTTTACCGGGGTTCCAGCGTGATCCTCATGTGATTCTACTTTAGTCTCCACTGGTACAACCCCTGGGCAAATATGACATATATATTCTTAAATTTATAGTTCATAAAGCAAACAAAATGCACTCTGTACATTGTGTAATTCTGCAAACTGTTTGATAGCTTAATAGTGGCATCTAGTGGCTCCAAATATTCACTACACCAGGAAAAAAAGAAACAATGTAAGCTCCAAAAACCCTCTTAAAGTTAAAAACACCTTATCATTCTTAAAAGGACAAACATCGTTAAGCCCAGACAAGCCAAAAGTCTTCCAAAAACAACACATAATCTCTATAGTTATTTTTAACAGAGATCAATTTAACACTTTTTTTAGGGGGCGGAGGGCTTGTAAATTGACTGAAATACCAAATTCAATTTCCAATTTTAAATTGTTTTTTTTTTATTTTCTCCCTTTCGACTTTATAAATAATAATAATTATAAGTAACAGAAAATATTTTAAAAAACTCACTTCTACTTCAATCACCCCTTTTGGGAGTTGACTGGATGCAAAACGTCTTGTATTCAAATGAGAAAATGGGCCCTGGGTGGGCTGACATCAGTCTGAACTAAGGGACAAAGGTGTAAGAAAATGGTTGGATGGATGGTTGAATGGATGGATGGATGGATGGATGGATGGATGGACGGACGGACGGACGGGGCTTGCAGCAGAGTGCTTTTAAATCCCCCAGGTATGATTTGCTAACTCCTACAAGCTACCAACCTCACACAAGATTTTTCTTGATCTCTTGTTATTCATATAATTAACTGATATATAAAAACATTATCACTGCTTTTATCTTGGGTGGTTATTCTGTTGTGCATTGATGACTCACTTCTATATTCCTTAATTAAAATGATCACTCAAGTCTTTTTTTTCTTTCAAGTTCTTTGTCACTTTTTCAGATAGGGGGGGGAAATACAATAAAAGCCTGGACATCATTAAACAGAAAAAGTAGAATTTCTTTTTTTATATGTCCTTTAACTGTCCAGATCAAAACTCCAGGATTCTTAATAGCTGACATACCTGGAGGTAGCTGAAAGATGGTAAGTCTTCGAGCTTCATCAGACTCTTTATGCAATAGGTTCCCCTCCAAAGCAAAGTGGACAGCCAAGTGATCCACAGCAGTCACTGGCTTATAGACACGTTCCTAAAATAGACAAATAAAAATTATGAATATTAGTAAAATAAATTAATTTCAATACAACTAATTGGTTTCCCCAAAATACCTTAATTATCTGCTCAGAAGACGTTAAATAAGTAAATATCACAGTAAAGACTTTTTGGCAAAATACCAATTTAATTTTAATGTCTTTATAAAGAGCCAACATGCAGAGTTGTTTTCATACAACGATCTTAAAATGCCTTATTTGGATTCACAGTGGCTATAATTTTGCAACAATGGTAGCATGTACATTATATTATGTAATTGTATGTGCTGAGTTATGACTTCCCTACCTTGAAGCTGTAGCGAACAAGATTTTTTGGAGCATGTGGGTTGTTTGCATTGAGAACTCTTGTAATTTCCTCTTTCAGCTCCTATATAAATCAGTACAGATCAAAAAATACAAAATTACATGTATGTAATATAAAATAAATATCACCCAGGGCAGATAATTTGATAAGTCAGAAGGTCAGAAAGAGAGAGAGAGAGAGAGGCAGAGAGAGAGAGAGAGAGAGGGAGAGAAAGAGAGAGAGGTGGGGGGTGGATTTCTGCATGACAATATCATCCATTTCTTGTACAGACACCAGTTACAAGATCCACAACAGTGAGTCAAAACAGCTAAAATTACATTTCTTTTTAGTATATTACCGAGCTATTAAAACCTAAAATGACTCACAATGAAAGATGGCATAAGACCTGTCCAAATTGAATTAGAAAATTAATATATAGATAAGGAATGATTAGAATGATCCCAAAGAGAGATCACAAGACACCACAAAGTATACATGAGAGTTTAATTTATATATTGTTCTATGTGATCTGTCACTGTCTTAAGTCGGACTTGTCTCTTGTCTACAGGCCTGCTTTTATCATTCATCCAGTTATATCCTTCTCTTACAGCCTCTGAGAGGTCCAGTTGATGATGATGGTGATGATGGTGGTGGTGGTGATGATGATGATGATGGTGATCCGCAGCGGATTTCAAATGGAAAGGGTCGTCCAAGCCATCAGTCGCATCCCATGCGTCATCGTCATCCTACAATGTCAAGCAAATAATAGATCTATGTATGTAGAAAGCAGAAAATTATATTTTGGTGTACAAATGCATTGCAAAAGTAATCATATCCCTCGGACTATTCAATAGTTTGTCATGGTCCAACAACAAATTTCAGTCTTGGTAGCTGAAATGTTTTTCCTTCCACTTTACAATCATGCCCCAGTTTTTGTTGGTCTACACATACATATATTGCAGTTCGTGGCAAGTAAATTAATGTTTAGACTTACTCGCTTTTAGTTGTTTACTTCGAATATTTGGGAGATAAACGCACCTTTGATAGTCCTTTGGATGACTTCAGACCGGGCAATTTGTGAACAGTGGAAGCCTGTTTGAAAACAAATCAAGACAAGAGTCAAAATGTGAAGTTAACGAGTCCGTGTACGTGTCTTGCGATTTTGCTAGTAGCAGCTAGACTAACTAAGATTTGGTAACAATTACCCTTCTACCAGCCATATTCACGGGAATTGAGGTAGGACCCCGGTTCCAAAAGCTTCATAAAATATGTCTATCTCAGTTTTTTTGTTTTTTTTTTTTTGGCAAAAATCAGACAAACTCTTCAAACGGTCACAAGCAAAAGGAGAACGCGCTTAAAGAACGCTGCCTGGCTCCTGTGTACTGGTTACCATGACAACCGCCAGTCTTTCTGTTACTGGCGGTTGTTAGGATTAACAGTTACAGTCACATAGATCCTATAATAAGGTATAAAAGTTTAACATGTCATATAGTTTCCACGCCTTTTATTTGATAGTTTCTTTAACATCATTTAAAAAAGCGTTACATTTAAATTTCAAGTTAAAATATAATATCATCACATTGTTTGAAAAATAATATATGAGTTTTAAAACATCCCAGGTTGATATTTAGATTATAACGGAGTAAATAACAGATCTGCGTATTTCCGTGTGTTTTCCTCTGTGATTGGACAAGATCTTCATGAATATTCCATGCACCCGGAAGTAGGGCGGTACTACTGGTGCTTTGCTGTCGAGTCACCTCTGTCAAGCGGGATGGAGGAAAAGGAGCCGCTATTATGCTGATAAACGCAGGATCCCGACGGACTGAGCATCAATAACCGACTTTAGTTCAGTTTAAACTGATCATTTATATTTAAATTACCGAATTTGTCTTGTCACAGTTTGCCAAAATGATGGAAGAAATCGACAGGTTCCAAGTGCCTCCTGTCAACGGAGAGACACAGCCTTTGGTAAGAGAGGAAAGACAAAACCCATCGTATTATGCAAATTAATCTTTACTGAATTCAAATGAAGAGATTCTTCTCTCTTCTACGGCTGATTGTAAGAGATGTGTTACGATATTATGTTGGTGAGCCAACGTATAGTAATTTGCAGCTTTGGGATACAATGGATCCTGGGATGGGTGGATATAGCGACCAACTAAAGATAAAAAAAAAAGGATGCCGATTACCATCCTCCCTATTTAGTAAAAAAAAATGTCCGCGTAGTATTTCATGAGTAAGCGCACGTTCAACCCTCTGTATCTGAGTAATTTAACTACGCACTTAGTCAAAATCGTGAGTGTTTAAAGCCCACGTCATATGCGCTTGTTTATATCAATGCTGTCATAGCTTAGTGTTTTTACATTTCGTCATCGACTGACGTGTTATTTTGGTCGGGATGGGTACCAGACCAAAAGATCGCGTGAAGTGGGTCCTCGCCGTGAGCTGGACTCGTTAGGCGATGCAATGCAGAATGATATTTTCACATTTTTACACCAATTGGTTAAGCTCCAAATTTGTGAAATGATAGCTAACTGTTTTCACAGCTCGTTTTGCAAATAAAGAAAGTTTTTGTCTTTTATTACATAATTAAATAAACTTAAATGGGATTAAAGTTAACTTGCATTTCAGTTTAAACAACACCTATCAGAGTTACTGTATAAATTCTATCAACTGTAGTTATATTTTATAAATAATTTTTGATGTGCTCATCCTGTTCTCATGCTCTAGCAAAGCAATCAGATGCATCCCACCGTCCAACATGGTGAATATTTCATCCTCTTAGATTACTTTAGATTTTCAGAATCTGATATTTGGATTGTAGCTGCAGTTTTCTCACTTAGCATTCTTTTAATAATCACATCACACTCAAACGACACCGGATCCTTTTTAGTATTGTCTTATTCAAACCTCTCAAAGAATTGCTCCAGTTACGCTTCCACACTAACCCTAACAAGATCGCAGGTGCTGTGGCACACATGGTCATGCATTTTGATGCTAATAACCCCATTGTGCTTCCCAAGCTGCATGAATGCACTTGGCACCTGCCAAATTCACACAGAAATAGTTCTTACATAAAACATTGAGTGAAGTAATCATCGCCTGCCCCCTTTTTATGTTGCTTGTCTCTGAAAGATAAAATTGCAAAAAAAAAAAAAATATATATATATACATTTTATAAGCAACCACACATTATAGAGCATGAAAAACCTTAAGTACAACTACCAAATCCTGGAATGGTTCATGGTTTACGCTCATGTGCCCCTGCTTTTCATAATCATATTGTACTGTCTCTGGCATTGTTGCAATTGTTAGAAGATTGTTGTAGCATTCGTTTGTTTCAGTAGTCACATGATATATCATCCTTCACTGAGATTGGTCAGTGGGTGGCTGCAAGGTGTAATCCTACCAATTGCTTAGAGTTCATGCTGTGTCAGCAGCCATGTAGCTTTTCAACATGTGAACAGGAGGACAAACCGATAAATGTGATGCGCTGAGGGGTATCCAGTGCTTTGTGAAAGCATTCTCGCTCACGTTTTAACATTCCTCAACTTTATAAGCTTCGGCTATATTTCATTGGGCGTTTGCATAATTATAATGAGGGATGAAAAGATACATGGCATACTTTTTATTTCACAAATGAAAATCTGAATAGCGTGGCTTGTATTCGGCACTCCTGACTGTTCTGGAAATTCTCCTTTGCTAAAAAGCTGAAGATCAATCAGAATGGATGGAGATTTTTCTATGAACATATCTTTTCAAGCTTTGCTTCAAATTCCCAGCTGGAATTAGGATTGGGCTTTGACTGGGTCTTGTGAATATGCTTCAATGTAAACCATTGCATTTGTAGCTCTGGCTGTATAATCAAGGTTGCATTGTTCAAGTGAACCGCTGAATTTATGCTGAGGTTTAATTACACACATTTTGGATTTTTTATTTAAATTATTGCAAACACTGACATTGTGTATTCACACCCTTCATTAAAAGGGTGTGAATACTTTTGCAAAGCACTGAATGTGCGCACAAATGTCATCTTGAGGGAGAGTATTTGTATGTAAATTTATGCTGTAGGTCAGGGCTATATATCATGTTTTAATGTATATAAATAAGATGAGCTGCCCCAGGTGTCATAGTCCTATCCATAGTTCAGGTTATATTCTTGCACAGCAGATGCTAACGGAGGAAACCTGAGTCCCTTCTGTGCTTAATATGCTGTTTTAGATCCCTTTTGAGTACTTTTTTTTCCCAAGCCACAATTCCTCAAAGGACTCCATTTTCATGCCAATCATTCTTTTGAGGAATTCCAAGTTATCATTATCAACATTTTTTTTTTTTACAAAGACTTCTAAATTTATTTTCTGTTGTGTGCCTGCTTCCTAGTAATGACGCAGAATAGAATAAATTAATATCAGGCACAGACGGTTTAATACAAAATATGTTTCACTTCACACCAGTTTCTTTTAGAGAGAAAAAGAAAATCAAAGGGATTCCTTTTTTCATCCTCCAACATTATTATATCTTTCTGGTGGAAAGGAATAATAAAAAAACAAAAAAAACAAAAAACAACACAACGGTAAGCCTAATCATCTAAAGCAAAGGGCCTGCCATCTGAAAGGAAATACTCGTAATGTGCTTCATGCAGTGGGATTAATTTGTCTTTGTGTTGAGATTTCTTTTTTTTTTCTACCTGTCTGTGGGCATCATGCTCACAGCTGCAGCTTTCATTAAGTCTCCCATGTAAGGGGGGGGAAAAAAGCGTCACTGACAAATAAAAATGAGGCCATCAATGAAGTTGACATGGGTAACTCATCCCATCGCAAGGTAGAAAATAGATACACACCGATGTCCAAGGCTGAACCTTAAAAAAAAGCATCCACAGTAGGGCTTCTATACCGTCTGGAGAAGTATAGAGTTTGCCTTTATTTTTGTTTTCCAGGTCTGGATTCATAGAGATGGCAGACTAGTCAGTATGGAAACACGTTTGAGTCATCAGTGTAGGCCTTAATAAAGACTCTCTTGTCATTATGAGCAACTGATAAGGCTCTGCTTATAAGCATCCAAATCTTATCAGTCATGAATCATATCTCATTCAACATATCAGTCTCAAATCTATCAAAAGTTCTCTTTGCCAAGGCACTATCTTATTTAATTATTTAAAAATGACTAAATAAGATGTTTAAATATATTTTTTCTCCTGACTGTGAGGTTTGGTTGTGGGGAACTAATCCAATGGGGTATAGAAGGAAGGGTTCACAAATAACAGGATTATATGGAGAGTTGGTGCCTGATTCCTCTACAACATAATTTTTAACAAAACACTCCTTGCTATCATGTTGACAAATTTGTTACTTTTCATTGAGTTTTTTTTTTTTTTTAAGTAGCTCCTATTGAATCAAGCCAGCATTTTCTATCCATGCCTTTTCTTGCTAATTTCTAGTGCTAAAAAAGCAAATTGTTATTATCTTATAGCCTGGGCTATGTTGACGAGTCCCTTCAAATATACCTGTTAGCAATGATGTATATATCCTTGCAGAGCTATTCACAACTCTGGAACTGAACCGCAGTTTGTTTTATTACAACCTCCAACATCATTTCATTTTGTGAAGATTTTATTTAGCAGTGGTCTTCAAATCCAGGGGTTTTGTGTCCTGTACATTTTAAGCTAGTTCCTAGTTTAACACACCAGAATCAAATGACTGAATCTCCTCCTCAGTGCAGTCAGGTTTTCCAAAGTGCTGCTAATGACCTGATTGCAAAGGAGAAGAAAAGTGATACATAGGTGTTTTAGCAAATAAATACTTGGAGATCCAAATGTATTTGTCACAGCTTTACCTGGACTGAGGTGATTGGAAGATGGAAAAAGCTAAACGCAGAACAATCCAGGAAGAGAGCCTGTTAGAGTCTACCCAAGAATTCAGAATAGGTTGGACAACCCTAAAAAAATGGAATGGTTTACCACAAAACATACTGTTTTCATGTGTCAGAGTGGCCCAGTCAAAGTCCAAACTTAGATCCAGTTTAGAACTCGACTTGGAGATTCCAATAAGTAATGTCTATAAGCACTTCAATCCAATCTGCTAAAGCGTGAGTAATTTATTAAGGAATGGGTAAAAATGTCAGTCTATATATGAGCAAATTTGACAATGACATACCCCAAAAAGGTTTTAGCTCTTATTGTCATGACAGATGTAAAAATATTTTAATTGTAAATTGTTTAAACCTACCATTTTCATCCCATTATACAGTGGTGTAATTATTATTATTATTATTTTTGCCCTAATACAAAATTTACATAAAGAGTTTTGTGATGGTAGCGTGCTAAGATGTAGCTAGTACTTATCCTAGGCACTGTAAATGTCTATCAACCTCCATCCACTACTTGTGAAACATTCCAGGTTTCTCTTTAATGTTATATTGGCACCTGTAATACTGTATTGTCAAGTCTTCTATTTTGTTGCTGCGACTAAAATCAGCTGTGAAGCCAGTTTGTTCTTGACCATTTTTATTTTTTTTTTAATTGTGTGACATAAAAATTTATATGCAAAATAAGTTCTTCGCTATCCCCACTTAATTTCTCATGAATTTTTCATCAAGCCCTCGTGAGACTCAATGAGCTCCGTCGGTTTGTGATACTGGCATATAATCGGGGCGGCATTTCTCATTACAGTTAAAGCAACGGTTTGTTGACTTAATTTCAGGGATGCTTGTAGCTTGATGTCTTTTTAATGAAACAAAGACATTCCCTGGCCTATAATTCTTTTATTTTATAAATCTTAAATTGTAGATTTTATTAAAATGAGTATTTTTCCACAGGTTATGTGTGTGCTCAGAGGAACACCTTAGGAATAAAGGAGTAGATCGCTGGAGTTATTGAAACCCAACAGCCTGACAGTCAGCAGTCATGAGACTTGCGAAGTTCCTCAGAGTGCAACAAGGAGACGCCTGTAGAATCAACATAATGCGCTCTCTGTGACTGAAGCAGGCCAAACACATCTCGGCTCCCAGTCTGGGGAAGCCATGGCTGTAACAGCAGCCCCCTCTGTTCCTTTACATGGCCGCTTCGCCACATCATCGCCACTCGTTTATGCACAAAAGAGACCGAGCCATCAGCATAGGCTGAACATTCATGCCCATTGATGCTGCAGCCAAGGCTGCTACGCACGGCTCAAGTAGAGACACAAACGGGCCCCCGAAGAAGACCGTTTGTCCCATCTCCTTAGGCTTGTGATAAATCAGATTTGGACTTTTTGAGTCTGACTTAGATGTTCACTGCTGAATCTGCTGAATCTCTCTGATTCAGCAGTGAATCCCTGCATATTTCCACTGCAGGGAAATATCATTTGTGGCTTTTGTGGAAATCGCCGTATCCTCTGAAACACGTTTTGAACGTATTGTCACTTCGCACAATTGATGAAAAAAAACGACGTTTAGTTGCTCACCATTCGAAGAACAACAGCTCGATCGAAGGGGAGTCGGAGGAGCCGGAACTACTCAGTCAAGAACAAATAATTGGTTAATGACATTTATTTTATGTTTATTAAATATTTTCTTTTAAAATAACCCTACCGTAATATTTCCCCTGATATTTTAATGTGGCTTTTGGTCTTACTGTATCAAGTCCAAATTACCGGTGCCCTTCAGAACGCTTTGGATTTATGTCTGCCATCGCTTTCTGTGTCACTTGGTGAAATGCATGTTCATGAACAACAACAAGCATCATCACGTCTGTTTATACTCTCAGAATGTACTGATGTTTTACCTAACACTTTTTACAAACAGGGTTACGTACTGATAAATTGAGGTAACACCAACTGCTGACGTGGGCGTTAGTGTTACGAGCTAACTTTCTGCATTGAGTGGTTGTTCCTTCTTTTCCTAGGACCCAGCAGCATCCTCTACTTTGGAGGCGGCGTCGGACCCTAAAGGAGAGAGCGTGGCCATGAACTACAAGCCCTCCCCACTGCAAGTCCAGATAGGTATTGCTGCCCTCCTTGCAAATCGTCACACATTTTATATCGCAGGGGTCACCAATAAGCAGCCATAATAAATGGAAGGCTTTTAACAAACTGGTGAGGAGTGATGAGCTATAAAAACAGAAATGGGATACCACGGTATGAGGAGTGCTTTACTTCTCTAAATGCGGTCTGTAAAAGTGAAGGCAACAATTGGGATCACATAGTATTTCTTAGACGGTATTAATGAATTTATTTCTAAAAGAGGTGTAAAAGATTAATCTTTAGATGTTGGCTCCCATTTTTTTGTATGTTGGGCGCACAAAAAAAAAAAAGTGGGCTAAAATGGACGCCAAACTAATGCACATTTCAGCCGTGTCCCCTAAGTAGCCTGTGGCGCAGTTCAAATGAGACTTCTTATACGTTTATTTAAGCAGAGACTTTCTTCTTACCACTTTTTCATAAAGGTCAGTTCTACTAATAGTAATAATTATCATGTCAACAAATTCTCCCTTCCTGAGCTGTTGTTCCCAGAGCTGCTCCTCTGATTGACGCTCTCCTTTCCCAGCCAGTCCGTTTTAGCAGACGCCCATGTCTTTGTAGGTCTGCGGATATTTGGGTTGTTGTTTAACAACCAAACCCAGATTTTAAGCTTCCTGCAAGCTTTCTCTCAGACTTTCTCTCCTGTGTTCATTCGTGGGTCTTCATTATGCTGTTTGTTCACTAATGTTCTCTAACAAACTTCTGAGAATAGCAAATATGGATTTATTCTGAGATTAAATAACAGGTGGACTCAACTACATCAATTTCAGATGTTTTGCTTTAATTTTACTACAAATCAAGAAAATGTTAAAAAGTGTAACATTTTTTAGAGAGACTGTATCATTTGTATTGATTACCATCCACAGATTATCTTAGTTTTAGATTAAAAATGACATTACCCTAATGTAACCCCATATTTTAACAGAAGCGAAAATGTGTTGTAGCCCAGACGCAGCAGGTAACAGTGGTTCCCAGTGCTCACTACCAAGTTGAACACTGCAGCACTCACTCATTTAACACTTTTCCCCCCTTCCAAAATGATACAACTCTCGAAAATGTGTCCTGCTGTGCTGATTTATTTACTGATGACTTCACATCCTTTGTTGCCTAGAGAAACAGAGGGACCTTGCCAGGAAGGCTTCGGTGAAGAATGGCACCGTGGGAAGTCCTGTCAATCAGCAACCCAAGAAAAACGCCAGGACAAGGTAGCACCTTCCTTCGCGTCTTTGTTTCCGCTCTAATTTTTGAGCGGGTTTATTAGCATGCCGAGTAGCGCAGCAAAATACTGCAAACGACCGAGACGCCAATCACGACATCGGTGCTTCCCGCTTTGTAGGGCATTAATTGCTTCATGTCAGCCGAAGACGCCGCTAGATTTTCTAACGTTACGACCTATTCAATCAGGACACAGCAAGGCTTCCTCGAAGAAAGAGAAATGCACGAAGGCTGATGAAGGAGTCACAACCGCTGAGCATAAACCCGGCGCAGCCTGCGGCGTTGACAAGTGGCTCATGCACCTAATCCCACTCTCTTGTGGATTAGTGGGAATATGAGAAACGCTGCCCACTGGTGTGAACCCAAACTGTCTGAGGCTAAAAGATAATTTTGCCCTTTCTGCTGTCTGAATGCTACCAATTAATTTTGGGAAGAGATAATCTCTTGGTTCAAACTACGGTGCTTTTTTTTTCTTTCTTTCAGTTATATGATGTAAATATTTGCAATGATTGTTGTAAGATGGCTTTTTTTAATGTGTTTTACTTCTAATGCAGAACATGGCTGTGCTCTTTTATAGGTTGGTCGTGCCAAACAAAGGTTACTCCTCTTTAGACCAGAGCCCGGATGAGAAGCCTCTGGTTGCGCTGGACACTGACAGGTAAGCGCTCCGCTCCTACAGTAACCTCTACAGCCGGACAAGTCACTTCACAAACTATAGGGTGGTGCCCTTAAGAGAATCTGGCTAAACTTTGCAGACCTCCTTCTGTGTATACGGGGCTAATCCGTGGAGCGACTTGACAGTTTTCTTAACAGAAATGGTCCTAAAAAAGGGGGGGCAAAGCTTCTCCCAGGGCTCAGGATTAGAGCACAGCAGGGTGAGGATTTGGACAGGCAGAAGCAGCTCTATCAGAGCCCTTCCTCCCCCCCCCTTGTGTACCAGCAGGTCTGTATTTTTGCCAGATGAGTCCCAACACTTGTGGACCCCTTCTTTCATTTGTAAATGCCAAACCCTTTAAAACAAGATCTGTATTGATCCAAAGAGTTTACGTCACACACTCGCTGACTAGCTTGGCTTGTTCACAACTCAACCCATTTGTTCATTGTTAACACTTTACAAATACATGTGCAACACTGCTGTTTAAAGTGCAAGATAGCCTTATTATTTGTTTATGAGGAAAAAAAGATTAACTGGCTGCATTTCTGTGATAATGTTGCAGTTGTATTTTTTTTTCTCAAATTTTCATAAATTCTGATCAAATTTAGCTGCCTTGAATTTGCTTTCTGCATATCTGAGCCCAGTAGAGTATCTTTTGTAGGCTCTAAAACCTTGTTTACTCTTGACTTTCATGCTTTTCTTCTTGTATTCTTCTGCTTAGGATCAGAGATGATTTGAGAAATTCAGCAGTTCACCAGAATTGGATTATTTTCAGTTAGATTTTTTTTTTTTTTTTTTTTTGTCAGTTTAACACACCACTACCATGTCACTGCTTAAAGGAGACTCGATGACTAAGTCTTGGATGTCTGTCTGTCTGTTGGGTGTTTAAAAGTAAAGCCATAAAATGTAAGAAACTCTTTAAAAATAGACTACTAAAGTGCAAAAAGGAAGGTTGGAGTTTCAAACTCTCAGTCTCTCCCTGTTATGGAAGTGGATTTGGAAATGTGAGACCCCTTTAGCAAATATCAAGTTTTAGGTGAGAATCTATATTCTCTAGTAGTGAATAGTGGTTTTCCTCACTAATCACTAATATAAGATGCTACAGAGAGATAAAAATGTGAATTGCATGAACTCTTTATTTTTAAATACTGTTTGGTATTACCTTGGCTCACATACATTGCTTGGTACATAATGTTTTTTTGTGATGCTCTGTTTTGTGAAATGTACCACAACACCACCATGTTTAAAGGCTCTCAGGTTTCTTCCCTTTTTTTTTTTCTTTCCAAATTTAATGATGGTCATTATAGCCAAACCCTTAAACTGTGGTTAAACCACAGGACATGTATCCAAATATGAAGGAATTTGTGTTTGAGTCCATTTGCAAACTGTAATTTCACCTTTTCGAGTTTCTGTCGGAGCAATGACTTTTTCTCACTTAAAACGTTCATAATACCAACTTCATGTACCATCTTCACAACAACTGTTTAAACGTCTAAAAGTTGACCTGGAGGATGAACCACACTTGTAGTTCTCCTCTAAATACCTTGACTTGTTTCGTGTTTTTTCCCCAAGATGTCTCACAAGAACGTGGCTCGTTTCAGGTATTCTGTTAAAATACATCCACAGGCGTTCTTCCTTCAACCTCATGGCATGAGCGGTAAATGGACTGAAATTGTCTAAATTTACATAGTGCTTTCCTAGTCATACTGACAACTCAAAATAATATACGCTAGCCATATTCACACATTCAAATTCACAACTGCATACACATTCATAGACTAACACACAGATCGGTATGCGACCTTTAGATCTGCAAAGTTATGAACATTTGTAGCCATATTTGTACCATCAGCAAACAAACATTACGCCCGGGTGAACTCTCATCAAGATAGTTTCTGAAGGTTTCCTACTTCTCAAAAACCATGTTTTCTTTATTTTTTTTTCAGGATCTTATATCTGATTTAATGTCTGATAGTAAGAAAGAAAGATTGTGTCTATTTATACAATCTATGTAAATATGTGCTGTCTGCTGTGTTGGGCAGCAGGTGAACATTTCATTGTTAAAAATGGAAAAGCATAGGGATTTGAGTGAGTCTGCCAGTTACCAAACTGCAGACTGGATGACTGAGTTAGAGCAAAACCGACAATAACGTCAGATGTTTCCAGTATCATACGGTCAATGATAAAGTCCTGAGAAGGAGCATTGGACCACCGACGCTTTACTGACTCACAAGTGGTTCACCCGCATGATCCGATCCAACAGACGAGCTGCTGTAGCTCTGATTTTGAAGAAGAAAATGTCGGAAAATGAAAGGTGTCCGAACAAACAGTGGATTGTAGTTTGTCGTGCACAGGTGACAGAAAAGTTCATAAAGTAATGTAAAAAAAAAAAATGCACATAATCTACATTTTTTTCTTTATTCTTTCCTCGCAAACATCTTTGCTTAATCAGTGTAATATTGAAAATGTTTCTGATCTTACGTTGTGTTTTGAAAAAGTAAATTAAATACAATATTTTTTTCTAACTTGTTTAAGAACATGATGCAGTTTGTATCTACTGCCGTTTCTGTCTCTAACAGTGAACAGCGTTTTTCTGCTCATCTTGTTAATGCAGCTGTGGAGTGAACATGGAACTTTATTGTTAGAAATAATCCCATCAGGGCTACCTGCAGGGAAAATAACCATGACAGAGCAATTAGAGCAGACAGCGAGAGCTTAAGATTGGAGCACAAAATGTTACCGTGAAAATGTATTTATTTATTTTTTTTTCCTTTCTGTGTAAGCCTGCGTAGAACCCCAACTTTAAAAAAAAAATCTTATTTTTTTTATGGTACCATTTGTATCTTTTTGGGGTCTCAGATAAGATGTCACCTGTCTTTCAGTGATGATGACTTCGACATGTCCAGATACTCTTCATCAGGATACTCCTCAGCCGAGGTGAGATGTCTGAGGGACCAGGTATTTATACAAATATTATATTGTTTCACAGCACCATCTGGCAAAAAAACCACAACCATCGCCATGTGATCACCTTCCTCCTCCTCTGTCACACTGGGTCACAAATGTGCGCTCATTTCAATACAACACTTTGTTTCCACACAGCACTCATGTCAATACTTCGTGATTTTCATCCCTTTCTATCCTATCCCATTTGTTCTTTCCCATGTAGCACATCTTTTGGTTTTAGCCTGTGGCATCCGCTCATCGCCACAATAATTTGATTGTATATTGTTTCTTTCATGTTTTATTTCTTTTTGTTTGCGCCAGTCATTTGTTTACTTAAAAGACCAGAGAAACGACCCATTCATCAAACAAAAACGTAGAGTGACTGAGAAGTGGTAGGTTGAAGCAGCATGTATTTCCGCTGGGTTGAAAAAAATAAAATCTAATTTGTCGGTTTAAAATGAGCAGATTCGTCATTTGACATGTATAAACAACGCTCACTTTATACCTCACTTTTGTAGTGATAAATATTGTTCCTTTTAGTAGCTATTGAAATTTTGCACAGGTTTTGTTTTACACTATGAATTGAGTTACTGAAGCCTTTCAATAGTAGTTTTTTATGCGTACACGTACCGTCATGTCTGGACTACATGCCACTACTTTATTTTACGTGCTTTTAACACTGCAACGTGGCTCATATATAAATTTTCACCAGCGTGTTTCGAAAAGCTGGACTGCTGCGTGAGTCTCGAGCAAATTTGCAACAAGATAAAAATGACAGTGAAAGAGAGATTGAGGAAGTGTGATGTCGTTCCATTCTGACTCTGAAGAGGACGACTTTAGTGGTTCTAGTGCATAGGAGCAAGATGAAGATAGCGATCATTGACTACTGTATTGTTTTCTTTTTAAGCAGCCGTGTTGCAAACACTGTTCAGAAAAAGAGTATTTCATCAAGAGTAAAAAAAATAAATCTGCGTAAATATAATATCTCAAGTTGCAACGTGGACACAAGGGGCTTAAAGACAAGAACAATACATACTTTTTTTTCCCCTTTAAAGCTAGTGGGTGTGGCTTATATTCAGATGTGTTCAATTGACCCTTTGCACCTACGTCAATACGGCATTGAACAGAGCAGCTGAAATTGTTTCCCTAAGTTGTGTTTGCCAGTTTCTTCTTGTTGGAGTCCAGCTAATTTGTCTGTGAACATCACACACCTGGTTGGGGCTCATAGACGGCGGTATTCACAAAAGTTGGAAATATGATGATGTCCATCATGGCGGAGTTCTGGAGAGCGTGACGTCACGTGTAAAACTTAAATAGTCCGGAAATTACAGCATGTACATTTGTGTGAGTATGTAAGAGAGCAGATTCTAAATAGGCGCAGCCGAATTTTGCACCGCACGACGGACATTTGTGTCATCTGCAAGCAAAACAAGTTCGGCCCGCGTCTAGAACCCTGTGGGATCTCATTTGTGAATGTTTTCTCATCGAGGTAGTTCCTGAAATGTTTGCTACTCCTCAAAATTAGTGTTTTTCCTTTTTTTCCAGTGAGATTTTTTTTTTTTTAGATCTGTGGTATCAGGAGTTCTTTAATAATCTGTAAACACGTCATTGAACAGTTTGTTTTCAAATGCAGATTCGATATCTTGAGTCAGTTGAATTAGAGTCTTTGCTGTTGATGTGTTTGTTCTCAAGTTGTAGTTTTTGCTCTTTATAAATGTTGAAAGTTTAGCATAGGGTCAACAGAGTATTTTCGACAAAACTGTCCTGAAGTTTTGCCTATTATATGTTTTTTTTTTTTTTTTGCAGCAAATTAACCAGGACCTAAACATCCAGCTGCTGAAGGACGGGTACCGGCTTGACGAGATTCCAGACGACGAGGACCTGGATCTGATCCCCCCTAAAGCAGTCAACCCCACCTGCATGTGCTGCCAGGCCGCCCCCTCCACAGCCTGCCAGATCCAGTAGCTGCCCCCACTCCTCCTTCATCCCTAAATGTTCTTTTTTGCCAGCTGCTGAACAGAATGGCATCGAGGAGGAAAAAAGAAAAAAAAAAAACAAACTGTCGACTTGAAAAACAGGCAAAAGCAAAACTAAGAGAATGTGGGGAGGGGGAAAAGTTGAATATGTACAGTACCTGTGCATGTTCCTCCTATGGCAGGATCTGTGTGTCTTACGTCTGCGATGTTGGTTCAGCGTGGATGGATTCAACTCATGGCAGAGACCTTACCTCGAAGAAAACAACGCTACTTTTGCTTCTCCTTTGTTCGAGTTGTAGCTCTTGCTTGGGGAGTTTTTTTGGGTTGTTTTTTTTTTTTTCTTTTTTTGCATAAAACGATTGTGCAACGTTGCAGAAGAGGAGAAACGACAAGAAGGGACAAGAAAGAATCGGCCAAATTGCTTCTTTTTTTTTTTTTTTTGTCATTACTGTGTCAGTGGGCTGTCCAGACACTCCACTTCCTCTCCTGGTGTATAATTTGCGACCCAATATGACGGAATATAGGACATTAGGAGTTTGAACGAGGCCATTTTATTTCCAATTCTCTCATTTCTTTCACCTGGTCTGCTTCTTCGTCTTCCCCTGTACGTGAGAACCAGACTCAAAAAAACGACGTGTGTGAGTTCGGTCATGCCCAGGAAAAAAAAAAAAAAAAAAAGCAGCGTGAATGAAACACTAGTGCTCACCCTCTCTAACACTAAGCTACCAGTCAGTCTGTTATACTGAGATCTTGTCCTGCTTATATCTGTTTTATATTTAGTTATAAGAAGCAGAAAAGTGCATGTTGCCTGTTTACACTGCGTCCTGATGCCAGATGTGCAGATATTTATTTTATTCTACTGACCCGCAGCCGACTCCGTGTATTGAAGAAACGTTGTGTGCTTTGTGAAATGGAACATCGTTTAGGTTCACCTACTGCCATTTTAGTAGATGTGGGGGGGAGAAAAGCACCGCAGCGTAAATCCGTGTCAGAGCATTCTCACACACTGAAGGTTACGTCATAGACTGTATGCATGAATGAGGGAAATGAATGAAGACAGAGGCTTAGAATTGTATGTTTTTAGTTTTATATACTGATGTTTGAATTGTGGCCAAATAATAGTAATATTACCCCTGGTAAAGATGTGCTAAAAAAAAAACAACAACCAAAAAACTAAATTCATCTTTCAAATTTCATAATGAAGGAAATAATCACAGCTGACACACACGTTACCACCTGAAATAATTTATATAAAATGAATGTAGCTGAAGAATTTCCTAATACATACATGTACATATATATATATATATATTTTTTTTTAAGTTAAATACTTTCGAGGAACGTTAATCCCTGACTGTAGGTTTCTTCGACGTGTGGATACCATCTACCCATCATGTTTGCAGCCGAGCTGGAGCTTTTCTAGTGGTTAATTGGCAGGTGGTACAGTGGCGCAACACCCATGCATGTACACACACACACACACACGCACACACACACAGTCCTGAGGTCAGTTTAGTAAGACTAATTACCCTGACAGGCATGCTTTTGAACTGCGAAAGGAAGCCAGAGTATCCGGACAAAAACTCCTTGCGGAAAGACTCAAAAACTGTCATCTGGGACTCTTTAAAATGTAAAGTACAAGAGAAGAAGCCGTTCCACTGAGACAGATGCATTCATATTTAATAAGAGTCATTTGTAGTAAAACGTGTCATCTTAGGGTCCTAGAAACGTATTTTATTTGTACACATCTTTACCAGGGATGCCAATACTGGTGTAGGGTGCATCTTATGGACAAAAGGCTGTACCTGTAGCACCAGAAATGGTTGTCATTTCATACTTTATGCCATTCTTCTCGTAGTTAAGTATCTCAATAAGAACTTCTTAATTTTTCTTTAGAAGTAATGTACACTTTTTACGTAATGTCTGAACCACTCACACACCTCAGAGTCTTAGGCTGAACAATCTCGCTGTTGTTACACCTTTGAAAATAATGATCCTCATGTCGCGCTCACATTGAAAAAAAAAAAAAAAAAAAGTAGATGGAAACAAATCAGAGTATGCGTTAACACTGCAGTGCAAACTTTTTTTTTTTAATTTGTTTAAACTTTGGAAAGTCTAAACTTGTTTACACCTTCTTTAGTTATTCCAACTGTTCAGTTGGTGTGTTTTAGGTTGAACTCCATATTGGTCCAAACTAATCCTGTTGTTTTTAGGGTTTTTACAATTTAATACAAAAAAATAAAAAATAAAATCTACAGAGCAGCAGGAACAAAAGCAACAGGATACTCACTGAATGGAGATGGTGTGTACTGTACATATACAAATACATTAAGTTATGGTACTGTATAGTGTAAAAATAGAGAAAATTGTATTTTGTTTTTTATTCCAACTTTTTTTTTTGTTCATTTGCAGATCTTTGTTTCAGTAAGCCATCCTAATGACGTTATCAGGTGTTACGGGTAGAGATGATCTAAAGGACTGTTAGCTACTAATAACAGAAGGTGACAGGAGAGACAAATCGTTTCTTTGACGGTGGCGCCTTCTCTGGTTAAAAAAAAAAAAAAAGCCTTAAAATGATTTAGTTTTTTATTGCAATAGCATATGCTCCCACAGAAAGTTACTGCAGTACTTCTTTTAAGAGCCTTATAGGGTTTTGTTTTTTTATCGAAGCACATTATATGTGCAGTACCTTCGCTGTTAGCTGATGTGTCGTCATTTGTTTGATCAGACAACAGGGATGCAGCGCAGGACTGGAGGCTAATTGTAACGGAGAAGCAATGTCAACTTCACGGTGTAGAAAGATTGGGGAAATATGTTGCATATCGGTAAATATAAGTTATTGACCATTCATATCAGTGCATCCACAATTTGTTTTACCTTCTTTCTGCTCACTGGACATTGTAACAAGGTACACTTGGTTTCTTGTACGACCTTTTTGACTTCAGTTTTCCTTTTTATTTATCTTTTCAAAGCTTTAATACCCATTCTGACTGGAGATATGGATGAGAAGCTATATTCTTGTAGTAATTTCCTGACTTGTGATAATGAACACATATTTGTCTTTCTGAAATTGCGAGCTTTCTTATCTTTTCAGTTTAATGAGGGAAACGGCCACCTGCTAGACATTTCATACAGCAAGGAAACAGGAAGTCACTCATTAATAACAAAAGTTAGCAAAGTGTGCATTAAGTACTTCATATCATGTTTTTCCCCACTGAATAAAAGTTCTCAAATTAAAAATAGCACATTCAGGATGCTTTTAATTGGAAATTTTACTTCTGCAATAAAAGATGAGTCGATTTTAAGGCTTTTTACTAATAAAAAAGGAGAAGGGGTGCTATCTGCTACTTTCCCATCTAGATCGTCGTTTCACTGGATATGCATACATGTCATGATCGGCGTCCCCCTGAATGCTCAAAGCCAGGCCTGTGCCGGTTAGGGCACAGCTTCACTTACTCCTTGAGTCCAGAATAATGAGTTGTGTGTTTTTTTTGTTTTTTTTTTCCCCCTTTATTTTCACTTGTGGGAATTAATTTCTATAGAAACAGGCGCTTTTTCATCTGTCAGATGCTTGTCATGACATGATTGTGAACTGGCTCCATTTAGATTTGAACAGTGTTACAGTTCTGTGTATAGTGCAACATATCAAAAATAAATAATGGATATCTCAATGCTCTGTGTATTTTCCTTGTATTGCATTGTTATTCCCAAACAATCGTGCAGTCGTTTTTTTTTTTTTACTTTTATTTTTTTATGCCTCTTCAGAGTGTTTTGAGAAATTTGTCTTCAGGAGATGAAGCCAAGTGGACCGATGCTCTGTCAGAGAGATGACAGATAGCGCTTCCAAAAGTTTACTTCCACTTATCATCAGTGCGAATGTCATGTTTATTTTAGGCTTTTAATGATGCAAAATCAGCGAATTTACTGTATATATTTTTTAAAAGTTATACATACTGGCTTGAATATGAAACTACATCCCACTGAGATTTGGGAATACCTTCCTCAGCAAAGAAACCAAATGTTTTTTTTTTTCCTTCATTAAGTTCCTGGTCTGGATATTTGATCTTACTTTCAGGAATTTGTAAAGTTCCCAAGGTTGGTCTGAAAATTATGGAGTTTGGCTGCAATTCTTCCAAGTCGAATTAAGTACAAATAAAAGAAGAAGAAAAAACTTTGGTAAAAAAATAAAAAAATACTGTTTTTTCCAGACTTTTTTTAAAATTTGTTATTAAATAATTAAAAAAAACCCATTAAAACACTAGAAGTTTTTAAACTTGATCTGATTTTGATGCCAACCAAAGAATTGACACTTTTTACAGATTATGATAGAATCTGACCAAAGTAATTTTATTTAAATTCCAAAAAACAAAAAAGTTAATAATTGTAGAATAATTAAAACACTTTTTAAAAATAAAAATTGCTGGAATAATTAAGAAATGTTGAAAAATATTAAAATCTTAAAGGAAAAACATGTAGGAACCCTGGAGTTCCCTGGTTTACTAACACATATTCAGCTATTGATCATTTTTAATACCAGTATGATTAAACTGGTGATATATTGGAAACTTAAAGTCAGTAATGCTCTGTCATTTTGGAGCATCCCTATGTATAATCATAAAATAGAAACAAAGCAAATTAGGAACCACCAGGATTAAAGCCCATGACGAACTGGAAGATGCTGAAATAGCATTTTCATGCTTCACAGGAAAGTTTCATCTCACCATGAACTGAGAAACAAGATACGATAAAAAGAATAAAAACAAAAGTCCCTGCTTGAAAACCGATGCCTTCGAGCTCCATTGAAAATCGCAGCTTAACACAAAGACAATCCAAACCCTATGAAGCAATTATTTCAGGGGGAGTATGTAAATATTTGAGCCTGTACGTATAATTCTGACCATAAATGGAGTAGAGAAAATTCACAATAAATTCAACTCCAGCTCCTGTTTCTACAACGTAAATCATTTTGATAAAAGTGCCAAACTTACTCACGCTGGTGGTGATTATATGTAAACCTGTAGTTAGCATGATGGAGGCATAGAGAGTGTGAGGGGTTGGGGGTGGGGCGCACACGATTAGCCTGGAGTTGATCCCCTGGGAGCAGATGGTGAATGGCGGCTTACCTACATGCTCTGAGTCCCAGGAGTTAGCAGGAGTCTGCAGTCACGCTGGAAGATGCAATGCTGGCTTTGAAGAAGTCTGAGGGTCGTGTCTCGTGAAAGAAGAAAGGTAAGCAGTGTTCCCATATTTAAGTAGAAGTTTACTTACTAGTGGTAGCTCCATTTGGAAGCTTTAGACAAGAGTTTCTCATCTTTTCCTCCAATCAGTAGGATATTTCAGAGCGTGATCAAATCACTGGTGTCTTATCTTCTCTGTTCTGCTGAAGTTCTCCAGCAAACACACATTTGGTTGTAGCTTCCTCCTGGTAGTCTTGTGTTAATCAACCACCTCATCTTACAGACTGGGATCACATCCGGGAAAGGCATGATGTTGCTGAGCAGCGCTGCTGTTTGGCTGCTGCTCTGTGTTCAGTGCCTGCATGGCTCTGCCCTCCCTGCCATGTCCTCCTATGAGTTCACCGCCTACAGGATGCAGCAGTACAACCTGGCGCAGCAGAAACATGGTAGGATCAAGCTAAGGATGTCTTGCATCTTGCAAACAAACAAACAAACAAACAAACAAACAAAACATTCCCACAGCATAATGCTGCCTGCACCACGCATCACCGTGTTTAATTTGCCTTGCTTTGCCTCGTTGTGTGAGGTTGCCGCGGAGCGATCGTTGTGGCGGAGGCGCGCTCTGCCGACGAACCGTCGCTGACCCGCCGTTGTGTCATCATGAAGGTTCAGGACTTCACTGTGGAGAAATACTTTGAAGCCCTGAGACAGAATGCTGCTGCTGTGCTGATCCTACTGCCTCAAAATATCTCCGGCGTTCCACACGAGACAATAAAGGTAAAACCCGGAAAGGCTGTCTGTGCTCTAAAAGCAGATTAAATGAGATTCCAGCTGGTTAAAACACTCGCTTTACGTCTCAGGCATTCATGGTGAGTGAGAACGAGGCCTTGCAGAAAGAAACCCTCACTCCAGTCTATGTTGTTCCTGAGGATGAACAGCTGCTTTACATGTATGAGGAGGTGAGGCAGGCAGCAGCTGCACGGACCTCATCCATGTTTGTCAGAGGTAAAGCAGACAGTGTGTGCTGAGATGATGGACGGGTAGATGTGTGTGAATAGGGCTGGATTCATAAGGATGTGGGCTCCTTGGCTGGAACCAATCCAATAGGGAGAAATTCCTTTACAAATTACAGGACAGAAATCAGTAAAAGAAAGAAGAAAATCTTTATTTCGAGGCAAAAAAAAAGTAGTCCATGAAAAAATAAATAAATATTATGTATCAGCTTTTGTAAAAAAGTATGCATCAGCTGGTATTAAGTGATGCATGGTAGAATTATTACATCCAATAGCTCCATGTTGTTCCCAAAGAAATCAACTAAAACTTTGTAGTTTTTAAATAAAGTACAATATTTGCAAAACACACATTCATTAAAAGAAAGAAAAAACAAAACTCTGCTGCCCTCCAAAAAACGGGGCCATGGTCCAACTGCCTCTATACTCTTTCTAAAGCCTGGCCCTGAGTGAGGAAGCCACAGGATGAATGGTAAATTTGTAGAGAGACAGAAAGACTTTCTTTTTTCATTTTCAGAAACATTTTACTGAAAATGTTTTTACTGTCCGCAGTTCTTCGAAGTATGGTCACTGCTACGGCCTTCCAGATCTTAGTGAGCAACAACAACCCCATTAAGGCCATCACTGACAACACCATAACCACACTGGAGGTAGAAGCTCAACTTGAAATAACATACTGGCTACTGGAAGTTTCAAACGGATCTTTTACGCTTTCCTTAAAAACTACCTTTCCCCTAAAGTCCTGCTCCTGTCTGGTCCGTGCAGGGTGTGCTGGCTGGAACCGGAGAGGATGCTCCCACCATCGTCATCACCGCCTACTATGACTCCTACGGACTCGCGCCGGTGGGTTGGCCATTAAAAACGCTCCACTTACAAGTTCAGAGCGTCGACCTGTGAAATGGTTTCAACTTTGGTTTGAAACGTTCCTCCCGCTTAAAAGCTCAGGTCTTTCAGTTCAACCCGGTGTGTTTGTGTAAAACAGTGGCTGTCATACGGAGCAGACTCTAATGGCAGCGGAGTCACCATTCTGCTGGAGCTGGCGCGTCTTTTCCAGAAACTTTACAGCACCTCCGCTACCAGACCACAGTGAGTTGGAGTTTATTCACGAGTCATGACGAAGCGTCTGCGACTGCAAATAACGCCAAACTAGAAAATAGTGAGAATGTGCGTTTTTAATATGGCGTCGATTGGTCAAATTTAATGCCTCAAACCAGGATGCTGAATTCCTCAGTGGAAGATCAACAAGTACAGAATCTTTAAAACAAAGTATTTACACCTACATTTTTTTATTCACATTTCAATGGATGAAACAAAATAATTTATAAATAGGAAGATGATGTCTGGTTTTGGGGTGTTTTTCTCGAGTCCGGTTAAAACCCAGTTCGACCCATTGTCATTTATTCTCACTTCAGCTTTCCTGTGAAGGCATAATGTGAGCTTCG